AAGAGTTTGTGTTAGAGCAAAGCCATGTTAAGGTATCTGCTGTGTCCACTGCAAGAGTTTGTGTTAGAGCAAAGCCATGTTAAGCTATCTGCTGTGTCCACTGCAAGAGTTTGTGTTAGAGCAAAGCCATGTAAAGTTATCTGCTGTGTCCACTGCAAGAGTTTGTGTTAGAGCAAAGCCATGTTAAGCTATCTGCTGTGTCCACTGCAAGAGTTTGTGTTAGAGCAAAGCCATGTTATCTGCTGTGTCCACTGCAAGAGTTTGTGTTAGAGCAAAGCCATGTTAAAGTATCTACTGTGTCCACTGCAAGAGTTTGTGTTACAGCAAAGCCACGTTAAGTTATCTGCTGTGTCCACTGCAAGAGTTTGTGTTAGAGCAAAGCCACGTTAAGTTATCTGCTGTGTCCACTGCAAGAGTTTGTGTTAGAGCAAAGCCACATTAAGTTATCTGCTGTGTCCATTGCATGTTTCATCCTAAACTTAAGCTTTTGATTTTGATACCCATGATAAACACATCACAGATAGCCCATTGTTTAGGTTTGCACTTAACAACAAAACAGTTCAGACACAAAACCGTTTATGCTTATATAGATAATTATTTCTACAAGTATGAATTCCCATACAGTCTCTATACTTTCACTTCAGAGTAGGGTCACTATATGTCCCCAGATGACAAGTGTTGTCCCCGGGGATAAATATCCCCAAACGTGTTCGAAAAAATCGTCCCCAAAATACCTTCCCATTTCATTGTTTATACTTTGTAAGAAATGTCTGCATCAAAAATACATGAGAAATAAACACTGAACCAGTTTATTTTCATTATTACCTTTGGTATAGTACTGAGAAAGAAAAATGAAATCCTAGAATGGAAACAATCATCGCAGAAATACATCTGTCACAACCTTCTTCAGCTTTTGGAATAATGATGACTACAGGTACAATGTTTCATGCAAGTGTCCCCAGATTTTGTTTATAAACTGTGATCACCTTAGCATAATGAAGTGATAGAACTCTTGCCCTTGGGAGCACTATAAGATGATGTTCAAGTTGTTACCAAATGCCACATAAAAATACAGAGTAATATTGTATCAGCCAAGATATTTTAAATCAACATCAATAACACTGTCAGTACTGTGAGTGGTCTTATTTTACTGGAAAGATCACCGATGTTACCTAAACATTATTTTAAATCAATTACAAGTTATAACACAGACGACATCTAATGCCCCAAATTTGTAACAATTACAAAAATATTAAAACATCACAAAATGCCCTAATAAATACATACAAAGAATTGAATGCGTCATATTGAAATGATTCTAAATATGCAAATAAGTAAGTCACGTGAAAACCACTGCCGGTATCAAATTGCGGTGTAACAGAACTACATTTTGACATTGTTTTGCGTTTTGTAAGTATTGTGATGTGATACCACTGAAAATTAATTGCTCATGGAAAGGGTATACAACAGCCCTTTCCAACGCAAGGTATTCATACATTTGTACTTAATGATACTGGAAAAAAAGGAATACGATCAACCTGGGATAACAAGACCTTTCAGAAAGAGACCAGCAACAGGTCACATCCCAACTTTGGTAGGCAGTGTGGCATATTGTAACAGGTGAGAATCTATGAACACAAAGGCCAGTGGCAACAGTCGACCACAACAAGATGGTCTATGGGAAATATGCAGGAAAGGGTGGTATACTTTGGACATAACCTTATGACAGAGCCTTTTGCAATGGAAATTATGCTTAAGGGCTATTTTGAAGTTGCACGTTGGTCAGATATATCTAACTGTACATGGGGGTATGGATTGTAATGACTTGGTGAGGCTCCAAAATTGTTTAGTATAACGTACTTAACTTTTGTATAATCCAATTTGGTAGGTATAAAACCAATTTAAAATAGATTCATCTTGAAACTCGTAAAATGCCATTTGATATTCTTACTCAAAATTACATTCAGAACTTACTAAGCATTGAAAATTAAGATATATTTCCTGACATTTTAACTACATTACTAATTTTTCGTGCTACAAGTAAGTAGGCCTATTGCAAGATTTTTTGCGACCCTGGTGCATACACTTATAATGGTGGCCCTTAAATCATAGTTCAGTTTTATAGGAAATGTAAAAGGCCAATATATATATTGAGAAAATAAAAGAAGCACAGAAGTGATCAAAAACTACAATTTTATAATACATCAAAAACACGAATATCTCAAGTCTTTTGGGGGCCCAAGCGCATTGTACCCTTTTCACACTCTCTAAGTTCTTTCCTAGCACCGGTACTGTAAGTGTGAGTAACATGTTGTTGTAACGGTTTCAATTGTTGGGTAGGTTCATTTTTGTTACTCAATAAAAATAATGCCAAGTCCAGGTCACTTAACAAAAATTAAACCATTTTACTTGTTCAACTATAACTTACCGAGTGATAGGCCTAACTCACAAACAAATCTAGAGTGGTAGGCCTAACTCACAAATAGAACTAGAGTGATAGGCTTAACTTACAAATAAAACTAGTGATAGGCCTAACTCACAAATAGAACTAGAGTGATAGGCCTAACTCACAAATAAAACTAGAGTGATAGGCCTAACTCATAAAAAGAACTAGAGTGATAGGCCTAACTCACAAATAAAATTAGAGTGATAGGCCTAACTTACAAATAGAACTAGAGTGATAGGCTTAACTCCCAAATAGAACTAGAGTGATAGGCTTAACTCCCAAACAAATCTAGAGTGATAGGCCTAACTCCCAAACAAATCTAGATTGATAGGCCTAACTCCCAAACAAATCTAGAGTGATAGGCCTAACTCACATATAGAACTAGAGTGATAGGCCTAACTCCCAAACAAATCTAGAGTGATAGGCCTAACTCACATATAGAACTAGAGTGATAGGCCTAACTAGTTAGACCTATCACTCTAGTTCTTTTGTGAGTTAGGCCTATCACTCTAGATTTGTTCGGGCACGAATAAATCTAGAATGATAGGCCTAACTTACAAATAGAACTAGAGTGATAGGCTTAACTCCCAAACAAATCTAGAGTGATAGGCCTAACTCCCAAACAAATGTAGAGTGATAGGCCTAACTCCCAAACAAATCTAGAGTGATAGGCCTATCTCACATATAGAACTAGAGTGATAGGCCTAACTCCCAAACAAATCTAGAGTGATAGGCCTAACTCACAAAAGGAACTAGAGTGATAGGTCTAACTCACGAATAAATCTAGAGTGATAGGCCTAAACTAACAAATAAAGCTAAACAGTTAGTCACTTGGTGAACTTCCTCTCGTAACTACGGCACAAAAACTCAGTATATGTACAGCATTGAGCTGATTTACTAACTTACTGACTGACCGACTATCGACAACATTTTTGTACCCCCCCCCCCTCAGTGCTTCAACCGTAAGTCTAAAGGTTTACAACGCTAAAATCCAATTTGTGATACACGTTGTAGGCACAGTACTGATAGCTTTGCACTTGACAACAAACAAAGAAACTTTTCTTTGTTCTTATACTATCAATATGTTCCCCAAGTCTCAACAAATATTTGAGACCTCATGTCAAATCTAGATGATATTCAAGAAATTTCTAGGTGTCACACATTAATACTATACTATATCAAGCTTCCTTCCAGCAAACAATATTAAAACATAGTTCACAAAACTATGTATCATTACTTTAATAAACCTTCACGACACTGAAATATAAAAAGTGTAAGCCTACCTGCCAAGGAACTTCGCCGAATTTTGCATCTTCGCCTCCAATGACTTTCGAACCACGTAAATACGTTTTTCCACATACTAAAGAATAAACATATTATCATACTTATAATCAGTGTAACTTTAGGACACTTCATATTTATTATCGCCTAATTAAGTATTTTAAAACAAAAATACTTAAGAAGCCTTTCGAACATCTGAATTAGTAACCAATAAATTAATAATTAACTTTATCTATGGGGTTTTGAGTCCGTTTTACTTCACCATATACTAATCTAAATTAATTTAGATAATTTAAGGTTAGTATATGGTGAAATAAAACGCACTCCAAACCCCGCAGAATGGCATAGATATTATATACACTTCACCGTTATATGAGGCCTATTTCTGTGGTTCGCTGACCCTAGCTGTGCTGATGAGCTTTGAACAGGCGAAGCTTCAGTCCACAGCAGAGTACGGCCAATCAAAGAATGCATTAGGTCTCTAAGTCACAGATTTCACCTCTGGTGAATAAGAAGAGAAATCTTTAACACATACACATATAATACAATAATTAACTTTATATTATTATTATTTACTGAAATGTACCTGCCAAATAACGGATTAAATCAAGTAGATGGGTTTAAACGATAAAATACCGTGGTTTCTTTATCTGTTTCTTTAGTTATCTGAATAATTCATGATGAATCTTTTCCACCTAAAGCTGGATATTTTATAAGAAAAAATCTGCGTACCACCAAAAATAAAGAAATATGAGAAATATTGTAATAACAGAAGAAAAAAAGATGTGTTTGGATCTTCATCTGTGTTACACAACTGTACATGGTAAAGACTTATAAATAATTGTTTTAGGCATTATGGGAAATCTCTTGAGACGCGCATACTTTCTGTTTCACGTGCTTTAAAATTAAAGTGAATGTTAAAAGAGAAGTTTTCGGGTGTTTTCGAGTCAGTTTGGTTAAGTTATTGTTCAATAAAAAAATTAACACAACATGAATTTTTCCAGAATATCTAGATCAAATATTCCAGATTTGCAATGTGAACTATACTAATAAAACAAACGTTATAATACAGCGATGTATGATAAGTATATCGAAAATCATAACAATTGTTATACTTTAACTTACATAAAATATAGCAAAGATGCGTCTAACGATATCTTAACATCAAACAGCAGGATGTGGGAAGCCTTTGACATTACCTCTCTGGTTATTTCAACATGTGTCAGCCAGGTGTATTTTACTGCTCGGAGGCCCTCTCTGTCAGTATGTGTGGTTGAATTGTTTAATTTACTTATTTCGCGGGTTCTAGTTATTTTCTAGCCTGGTGGCAGGTTTTCTGTGACTCTGGTCCGCAGACTTGGTATGAGGCCCCTTAACCCTTAAATTTCAGTTAATTTTTATTGAAACTTAAAAAGGGCAATATACTGAAAAAACACATTAAGTACACATTTGATTTAAAAAGCAACAACAAATAAACAATTCTTTAATACATTAAAAATTCAAATAAAACAACCACCCACAGGGGTGGATTGAGGCCATTTGTGGTTTTGAATCCGCCCCTGACCACCCCCTATGATATACTATTCACATTTTAATGTAAATTAATGAACAAAAACCGAATGTAAATATGTTGATAGTTTTTCTTGCATGAAAAGAAGCAAAGAAAAGTACGTGACAAAAATTATTTTTATATTTGTATACTTCTAATTTAATCTTTACTGTTTTGTTTTTTTTATAAAATAAGATAAATCATTTTGTTTTGAAATATAAATGGCGTACATCAAGCGATACATGTACTGATTTACATTTCTACTGCCTTTAATTACAATGTTAAATCACATCATTCTGAAAGAAATTATAAGTAGGAAGTTACTACCTCCATCTTGCGGTTCACCAGAGAACCCAAGTGTCGTAGTTTGGCTGTTGATGGACTCAACGCTAGGATTTGGTCTGTTGGCATTTAATGATTGAGTCAAAGTACTCAAACTTTCACTGATAAATGATTGAAAATCCAAAGGCACACAACAGCTCCACATCATGCCGCCATTGCACAAGTTTAGCGCCCTCTTTCCTTCAAGCCAACAGTTAAACCCAAAATTACAGCCGTACGTTTGTCCCTGGTAGAAGCAGTTCTGTGGAAGCCCTGTTAGAACATAAATATTAAATAATAAAAAAATCAACGAGGAAGAAAGGGTTAGCAGTAAACGTTTTATATTAGTATAGTGCACCCTTTTGTTACTACCAAAATAAATAGTTTGGTTTGAATTTCGCGCAAAGCTACACTAGATCTATGTTCGCTAGCCGTCCCTAATTTATCGGTGACAGACTAGAGGGAAGGCAGCTAGTCATCACAACCAACCGCCAACTCTTGGGTTACTATTTTATTAATAAATAATGGGATTAACTGTCACATTATAACGCCCCCACAGTTGAAAGAGCGAGCATGTTCAGTGATGAGCATTTGAACTCGCGACCTTCAGATTGCGAGTCGAGCACCTTAATCACGAGGCCATGCTAGTCTCAAACAAAATATAATGCAGAAGATTTGGTGGATAAAAGCCAAAAACAGTTTAGATCTTTTAGCTAAAAAGACAGTTAAAAAGCTACAAATTATTTTACCGAAATATTACGTAACAAAAGTTAACTCGGCTGAAAATATTTGTGGTGGGCAGACTGATATCATTTACAAAAATCCAGTATTGATTACTCAGTTAAAGTATCAATTATTTTTATTACTTTTTAAATAAAATAGTACCCTGTTTTTTTTATAAAAAGTAAGGTAAATTTTCATCCTACATTCCCGTCATGAGCAGTATGTATTAAAGGACTGTTTGAAGAAGTGTGAAATGATGCGGGCTTATTGGGTGTCATGATTATAAGGAGTCTTGTGTGTTTGGGCTAGGTTTCACAGGCTCCTAGGTGTTTAGGCTAGATTTCGCAGGCTCTTGGGTGTTTGGGCTAGGTTTTGGAGGGTCCTGAGTGCTTGGGCTAGGTTATGGAGGGTCCTGAGTGCTTGGGCTAGGTTTCACAGGTTCCTAGGTGTTTGGGCTAGGTTATGGAGGGTCCTGAGTGCTTGGGCTAGGTTTCGCAGGCTCCTAGGTGTTTGGGCTAGATTTCGCAGGCTCTTGGGTGTTTGGGCTAGGTTTTGGAGGGTCCTGAGTGCTTGGGCTAGGTTTCACAGGTCCCTAGGTGTTTGGGCTAGGTTTCACAGGATCCTAGGTGTTTGGGCTAGGTTACGCAGGCTCTTTGGTGTTTCGGCTAGGTTTTGGAGGGTCCTGAGTGCTTGGGCTATATTTTTCAGGGTCTTGGGTATGACGGGCTTATAAAGCCAAAAAATCTGGTATCGATACCCCCAGTGGGTAGAGTAAAGATAGCCTTTTGTGTAGGTTTGGCTTAAATTTGGCAATATCGCCTACCACTATCGTCTTCTAGCTAGCGATGTAGATGTAGGTCATGATATGCGTGCTATCTGAGCAGTAAACCTAGTTTTCAAAATCAGGTTGTTGTTTGTTTTGTTTTTTGTTACAATAAGCCTTCTCGAAAATGACCTGAAACTTCCAAGTTATTCACTGCTTTGAAATGTTAGTTTTTCAACCAACTGTAACATGGAACGTTCTAGAAGACCCGTTCGTTTATTGTAAAATTGAAACATTAATAATTTAACTAAAAAAAAGACTTGTATGAAATTTCATCGTCTCCGCATTCCAAACAAGTCATTTTAATTACTGTATTATTTGAAATAAAAATCATTTTTTACTTTCAAGCAGATCATTGCACCAACTCAGGAATAAAACTTATTTTATATTATCAACTAAAAGTTGTAGTTTAATTATACAGAGTTTGTTATGTGTTGTTTATTTTATTTGCGCCGTTACACATTTGTATATCGTTAAGGTTATCTGCCTGTACAAAATTTTGAGCTACTGAACGGCATCCGGTTAGAGATACTCTACTGTTGTAACGCACTGACAGATTAAACTAAAACTTCTTAACCACCTGGATCAACAAATAAAATAAATAAAACTATTATAAACATGTATTCGGTCACTGAGTATTCGTATTTTTTAAGGGATGACGCCACACAAAGACTGTTCTATGAACTAATTATCACATGATGATATGACGTAATTTAACCATTTTGTGGATTTATTATTCCTACCCCTCTGTGATTTCGAAAAGTTTGCTATAGTAAAATCAAACTAACCTTAGTTTTCTGGTTAATAATGCGCAGTCAGTTTCACAGTGAATAGAAATTACATCATAATCTTAAATTAATGCGCATAAAAAAAAAGAGTTACACTTTTATGACTTTCTATAATAATACGAATTTAATATTTGAAATTAAAAGGTGGGTATCTGGACCTAATGGTTTATAGAGAAATGTATTTATGTTTTTACAGCGTGTTCCGTTTGGTATTTCTCTTTACTTCATCTTATAAACACGTGTTACTTTCACTCCGGTGTATTTCTACACTTTTCACTCCTTTTCACCGCGAACTGGGTGTGGTCTAGCGGTCAGTCTGTAAGTCTGAAGGTCCAATGTTCGCGTTCCGTTGCCACAAGAATGCGCCCCTCGCTCTTTGCTTGGGATGCGTAATAAGAACGAGAGCCAACTCCAACTACTCGATCTGAGTAGCCCAAGAACTGGCGGTGGGGACTGTTTCCCTCTCTCTATCAGTTCAAAATTAGGGACAGTTAGAGCAGATAGCCCTTGTGTAGTTTTGCGCGAAACAAAATAAACCTTTTTTTTCACTATTGTCCATTGCTTTTAATACAAGGTACAACTGACGCATGCGTACTAAATCCAAACTTCGTACCTTCTCGACACTATTAGTTACACCTGTTCCAAGTGTTCCGATCATTACTACAGTTAGTTAAGCCTTTATTAAATACGCCCTACATTCGATAAAGAGATAAGTTAACACTGTAACTTGTGTACGTGTTATGCTTTAGTTTAGTTTAAACTTTACCGTACTTAATACTATATCAATAAATAACTTATAATGTTATTCTACGACCTAACGTTAGACCTTTTTAAAAACTTTGATGCTGTTGTACAAAGCGTCTACTAAAGTATATTTACACGCACCTTTTATTAATTACATCCTTTCCAATGAAGTGTGCGCGCATGCGTATTTAGATAGTAAGGTGGGCACACATTTTCAGGACAGACAAAAACTGGGAATTTTTATAATAGATTTTGCACTGAATTTCTGTACACTCACAAATAATTTAAATACAAAACTTAACAGAAAAGACAAGCACTGATTTAAAGTAAGATGTACTTACTTAGAACGTAGCGGATGAAGGTAAGATGTACTTACTTAG